AACCTCCAAAAGCTGGTCAAATCGGATGTCTGCCTCAGGGCTTTTTAGAATGCCAAGCGTCAACGGACTGTGGACTGGCTGGCAGCTCCTCCACCGGACAGGCGCACTGCCTATAGCTGACTGGGGTGACGCCACTTTGGTATGCTCACGACAAAAGTCCCAGTTAGGCAAAAATACTCCCTTGCAGTACCAACGTTAGTAAGGGGCAGATTTTGGTCGTTCTCGTTGACAACTGTAGTCACCTGATTTCCGGGCACAGCGTCTTTGTGCAGGTGTTAACTAGTCAGGCATCAGTACAATGGATGGAGAGGATTGCCTCAGCTACACTGCATCCCACACGAAATGGCATCGGCAGCGTGATCGGCGTCTTCCCTCGAGAGCCTCAACAAATGCATTAGGTTTTCTAAAGTATTTTTCAGGAAAACCAGGTACCATAAATGGGGCAATTATTCCGGTGGCTGTACTTAGGAGAACAGGGAAGTAGCCCGACAGTGCCGATGAAGGCAGAGGATGGGGGAAGGATGAAACCGGAATTAAATCATCCAAACACGTGTTTCATGTCCTGCTTGGCTTTAAGTCAAGTGCTTCAACTACCTGATGCTGGCAGAACACCAATGGGGACTTATTTATTTGGTGGTGGACAAACTGGAAGCCGTTTCTGGCTTCAAAAGTGTGCTGCTTGTGTAACAGCTTTGCTCCAGAAGGTATCCACCCCCCACCCAATGTGCTTACATAAGCCAGTGGTAGCTGTCGCTTGCAGCAAAAGTCTTTCTACGATGATGCTTTGAACAGTGGATGCGATCGTTCTGACACGCGGATGGTTTTGCGGTCTCTAGTGGGTCAGCAGTGGCAGTGCTACCTGCTCGGACTCGTATCCTAACTAGTGTATCCACAGAACAGCGTGTAGTGATAACGAGCTTTGTGGCCCCTACAGCCTTCTCGCGTAGGCCACATCACCTGAATGGAGGTCACGATGACCTCCAGTCCTCCGGCCACCGGATGAAAACTTCCATCTCGGATACGTGATTGTGGACACATAGAGTCCCT